TATGTGAATGAAGATACCAGTCTCATTAAAAACAATGTATAGTTTGACTGATGGTTTCAATTGTAATCCCTAATTTATCTTAACAGCATTAGGAAAGTTTCATTCCCTTGAATTTAATAAGATCTGTCATAGAATCATAATGGTAAAGGTAAAGAAAAATAGATCCTAGTCCTTTGGAATCTTTTGCTATCTTTAGAAAATCCTGATTTTAGAATCTATAAATGACAGAAAACAGTGCTGAAATTATCACTAGAATTCTGTCAAATGACATGACACATGTAAAAACAAAACCCCAAAATTTTCTAGTTTGCAGTTTGAATTTTCCATGAGAGCTTGTGGAAAATGGCATAAAAGAAATTACTCATGGTGGTCTGTGGCAGATATAAGTGATGTACCAAATCTGTAAATACTGGCAGTAAGACCGGATGCATAATTCTAGCACACCAGATCAAAGACCTGAGTGAATATTTTTTCCTGTGAGTAACTTATTAATGGAAACGAATAGCTTCAGTTTATCCTGAACCTGAGAAATTAGCTCGTAAGTGCCAGTTAGTTTATTCTGGGGAAAATATTTCAGGACTTGGAGGAGTTTTTCAGGCTTTCTGTTACAGGTAGGTCATTTTACCTAAAGGACCAAAAGAGTTTTCAACACTGATTCACATTTTTCTCAATATTTTACCCACATTGTGTGTGTACCTAGCAGAGTGAGAATGAAGTCCTCTGGAGATGCACTCTCAAAACCCTTTTGTGAATGTCCTTCCACCTCAAATGGACTAGATGGGTATTGATGTTCTTCTCTTTCACATGAATTCATAATTATCACATGAAGAAGTATTTTTTCTCTCTAGTGCAAATAATATTTAAATATGCTCTTCACAATCATATCATCATCGCTGGAAGAAATTAAGGAGGTGCCACCAAGATGATATTTCTCACAAAGTCAAGTATATTCTCCTGGGAAACAGGCAATATGTGTTCAGATGTCTTTAAGCAAAATTGTGTTAAAGGAGATGATATCACTTGGTCTTGCCAGTTTCTGTAATCCAGCTTCTTTCACTTTTCAGATCTGCTTTGGGCTGGAATAAATTTTTATTTCATCAAGAAAAAATAAGTTCAAACCAATCCGTGTTGTTGCAGTCTTTTTAGTGTTTGATGACCAGGATTCCCACAAACCTAATACATCGACTCTTACTGATAAGGACTGCATTCTTTCATTAGGTGTTAAAATATAATTGAAAAGCTATTAAAATTCAAATGAATGATTATGTATTACATAATCTAACTAGTTTATCTTCAGACAGTAGTCTTCCTTTTTGACAACTCAAGATTAATGGAAGTTCTGTGGAAGAAAAATACAACATTTTAAAGCATATTAAGATGTGAAGATTTTTAGTTTTCATTCATTGAACAAGACTGTTAAAGCTCAAAGGGAAAATTGCGCTGTTATAAAGAATTTATTTTGGGAATGGCATTCAGTACTTTTGTTTTATCACCAACCAGACTGCATCTTCAGGAGACAGAAGCGTGTATTCTAATGGTTAGGCCTATGACTTTTCATCTTAATCCTACCATTAGGGAAACTGATGACAAGGATACTAAGGGATTTGACATAGCTATGACTTATTCATTATCAAAGAACAAAATTCTGATTTCTCTATTTTTTCTACCTTTTAGGTAGTCCAGTTTTAGTCCAATACTACAGGAAGTTTAACATACTAAATTTTTACAGTGTTTTAGTGTTTGACCTGAATTTTCTCCTAGTAAAAGAAAGGGTTTCAAAATATTCTGATAGGGGATCAATTGTGGCTTAACTACTGTTCACATTTGTTTCTCATCCTGGGATCCATGTAGGATGTCCCACTGCCAAATAGAATCCTTTTTCTTCCTCTTCTCTTGTGTAATATTATGTAGAATTTATTTTGTCCAGCATAATATTTTGCTACTTGCTGTTAGTTCTTTAGGATTAAAATATTTACACTTAAGTAGAAGTTACATATATTTGATCATTTGTCATAGAGATTGGTAGGATAATTTTTCCTGTATCGTGAGACTAAACTCAATTTTTCAAACTCAAAGTAATTGAGTAATGGCATAACCATTAGGATAGATACTTTTTTTCATGTCTTAAGACTAAAGGATTCCATTGCAACATTACCTGTCCTTCTGAATATCCTGGGCCATGCTGTTTAAGTTAAATTAGCATTGTAGTAAATACATTAGCTTATATCTACCTAGACTGTAGCTTCTGTAAATGTTTTCAGTCCTGACTCAAAGACACCAAGACATGGAGATCATTACTTATCTTCCTGTGTTTGTACATCATCTTTATAGCAAATTTGACTTACTGTTTCCTGTAAGAAAAAAATCCACGTTAGTCTAACAGATAAAGCCCAAATATTATGTGTCAAATCATAATAGCCTTTATCTACTGGTAATTTTTTCAGATGCCTAGCAGATAAGCAGTAGGTTTCCCATTATGAAAGAGCAGAATGAGCAGCTGTGTGTGGTAAGCATTTTGTTGTGGCTGAGTTAACCATTAAAAGAAGTTGCTGATAGTATGACAAATTCTGACATGGCACTCTGCACCACAAATCTTAAAGTAAAGAGGCTTTTGACTATTTTTGAATAGGCAAAAAGTAGCAAATACTGTTATCATAGGGGATTCTTCCCTTCCAAGCAATATTTCTAGGAAGAGTTGCCAACAGTTTGAAAGTATGTACTCAGCTATAAATATAAAATATTTTGGGGGACTTGTGCTATCTCTGATTTCATTTTGATTTATTAAAAGTAACTTCTTGTTTTTCAGAACTGGAAGATGTTACTGTAACGTGGCAGTTTGCCAAAAGAGTACAATTTGTGCAATGAAGGAAAGTTAAACCAGTTTTCTGTCCAAGTCAGTCTCATCTAAATGAAATTTCCAATGACGATTGAGTGTTTCTATTATAAAAGTAGAAGAACTGGCTGTTAAACCTTACATTTATCCTTGTCATTGGGTGCAATCACTGTTCAGAATGATGCGCTCCTTTTTATCTTCTAACGACAAAAATATCATTAGATACTGTGGTCACTGTGCTTTAGAATATTATTCCCAAGATGGATCTTCTACTGGATATGGATCATCTACTCAGATGGTAGTAAACATTTCTGCCCACAAAAAGCTGTTAGCCTCACACCAAAAGATTAAATTAGTACTCCTACCAATGACATAAGTGAAGACGAGCAGTACTTTTAACCTGTGGAAGAGTTGACTTATATTGGTAATCGGTAAAATAGTAAATTGATCTAGCTTCAGTATAGAGTAGTTTGCATTCTTTTCCCCATGTTAAGTCATGTTATCTCTAATTTTTCATTGCAGCCGCATTGATAGCTACAGTACAGTTCATGTTCTGTTCAGTAATGTTGATTCATAGAATCACAGTTTCAGTTGGAAGGGATCTTTAAAGATCATCTATTTCCAACCCCACTGCAGTAAGCAAGGACATTTTCCACTAGATCAGGTTGCTCAGAACCACATCCAGCCTGGCCTTGAATGTCTCCAGGGATGGTCCATCCACCACCTCTCTGGGCAATCTGTGCCAGTGTTTCACCACCCTCTTTGCAAAGAATTTTTTCCTCACATCCAGCCTGAGTGTCGCCTCTTTTAGTTTAAAACCTTCACCCCTCATCCTGTTGCAACAGGCCCTGCTAAAAAGTGTTTCCCCATCTTTCTTACAGGCCTCTTTTAAGAACTGAAAGGCCATAATAAGGTCTCCCCAGAGACTTCTTCAGGCTGAACAAACCCTGCCCTCTCAGCCTTTCCTCATAGCAGAGGTGCTTCATCCCTCTGATCATTTTTGTGGCCATCTTCTGGACTCTCTCCAGCAGGTGCATGTCTTTCCTGTACTGAGGACTCCATTGCTGCAGTATTGCAGCTGGGGTCTCATGAGAACAGAGGAGCAGAATCACAGAATCACAGAATCCCAAGGGTTGGAAGGGACCTCAGAAGACCATCTCGTCCAAACCCCCTGCAAGAGTAGGATAACCTAGAGTACATCACACAGGAACTTGTCCAGGCGGGCCTTGAATATCTCCAATGTAGGAGACTCCACAACCCCCCTGGGCAACCTGGTCCAGTGCTCCCTTGACCTGCTGGTCACACTGCTTTTGATGCAGCCCAGGATACAGTTGGTTTCTGCACTGTGAGCGCACACTGAAGCCAGGTCAGGTTCAGTTTCTTGTTGACCAACATCCCAAAGCCCCTCTCCACAGGGATATGCTCAATCCCTTCATCCCTCAGCTTGTATTGATACTGGGGGTTGCCCCAACCCAGATTGAACCTCGTGAGGTTTGCATGGGCCCATTTCTTAAGCTCATTCAAGTTACTCCTTAGCATGTGTAAAAATTTACACTTAGTATGTGCCATAAATTAATTAATATATTTAATCAATTTTCATTTTCCAAAGTCAGAAAAGTCATACTTCAAACCTATGTCTGCTTGAGTGAGTTTGAATAAATGTTTCTATTTCAATATAGAAATCTGTTATTCTGGGCAGCACTTTGTTAAATGGGATGACTTTTCTTTGAATAATTAGGTTTGGGCCAACATAGTCAAGCATGGAATGAAAATAACAGATTGTTAAACATTGTTGCAGTTTTCTAAACAAAGCTGTTTTGAAGCAGGGACTATTCCTCTTTCCTGTTTCCTTTCAATCATAAATAATCAAAACAGAATTTACTGGAATGTTATATAAAACTTCTTCATTTACAGTAAAATTGAGGTGTGGTGGTGCTTGGGTTTGGCTTGGTTTTTTGTTTTGCTTTGTGTTTTCTTTTAATTCCCCAGCAGAACATTACATTTTGTGTATTTGTTTTGTGATAAATGCATCAAACCTATAGTATCAGAAAAGAGCACAATCCTGCAAGTCCTTCCAGGAATCCAAAGTTCAATCATTCATTTAGCTTGCAAGATGTTGGGGTTTTATTCAGTTTTTCACATCATTGATCCTTTTTTTCACTTGCAGGTGAATGAAGCCACAGTGGAGCAGCTAGTGCAGCAGTATCCACATATAACCTTCAGTACTGTACTACAGGATTGCAAGAGGACATTGGAACGGGCTTATCAAATGGGCTGGACACCCAATATGTCTACTGCCTCTTAACTTCCTATACCATCATGGCAGTTCCACTCTACTGCATTCAGTAGATTTAATGGGGATTGCAGAGGATTCACAACCTTTTGTGTGATGCAATATAATCGTGAGTTTACAGAGATTACAGTAAAATGGAAAAAGCTGTACACTGACTTTAATGTACTGTAGCTAAGTACTAATATTAAAGCAAGACTTTTAAAGTGTATCATTGTTTTGTTTGCATAAAATATACAAAAGCCTTTGGCAGATTTCTTGAAGTGAAATTCTACTAGTTCTCTGGATAGTTTGAGTTATAGAAGATCTTAAGCTTGATTTCCTCTATTTACTTTACTCCTTCTTGGTCATGTGCGTTTCCTTTGATTTGTGCTAGCAACAGTGCAGTTGATCAACAGAGAGTCCTGTGTTGCAACTGGGAGCTAAACTTGATGCTTATTATTTACTAAAGATATACAAGGAGTTTACAGATGCACAGTAATAAGAAAATCTACCTAGATTTGTTATTTTCTTATGAACATGTTGATAATTAGACAAATCATTACTTTAAACACAAATCTTAGTAAATTATGACAGTGACAGAATGGATATTTAATGGACAATTTTACTTCTTTCTGTCACTCAACGAAATTTGTATCTTCTTTCATTTTGTGTTGTTTAAAATAGGAGACTGTGGAGATTTCCAGATGTTTCCACCTCACTATTTTTATGAGTTAACAGTGCTTCACCTAACACTGCTAACCCGTTTCCACTTTACAAAGTGAAACAGTAATTGAATACACCAAGTATCAGAAATAAATTATTATACAATGTTTAAACATCTGATTGAAAAAATATTTTAAAATATTTGAAATATTTGAAAATATTTTTTACTTTTTAATTTAAAAATTTAAAAAAATATATGTTTTTTCTCCTCTGACTATGCTGTTATGTTGCTGAATGAGGAAATTCAGATAAATAGGTACAAGTTCTCATATCATGTGTGGTTGTTATTTTACAACATAGTTTACAGTACAAAAAGTGCTTACCTTGAGAAAGCCGTCTAAATACAAGTCCCATCATGGGTATCATTTTGGAGGATCAGACACTTCATAATACAGTGTATGCAAGAAAATACCCAGAATAAAATACATAAACAGATTAATTTTCTGTGCATCACAGGGAGTTCAATTAGACAAGGGGACAGTGAAAATACAGACATTGCAGCTTCAACTTGAAGCTGCATTAACCTTCAGAGTATTACTATTTGGTTAAGAATGTTTTCAGGTGTGTAACATTGGGTATTTGTTTTTCAAAGGATACATCATCTTAAGCCAAAGTATGAAATGCTTAAGCTTCAGCTGAGGAATTGCCATTATTTTAAAAATGTTTTGCTAATCCAGAAGGTCTAACACAGCATAAACTAGGAGCTTTATGGCTGTATAACTCTCTGTAGAACTGTTTCTTGACTTCCATAGCATAATTTTCTACAACAGAAACATCAGCTCACAGTAATTCCAATGCGAGTGTTGATTGTTTTCTTATTAGTCTTTTCAAAATGGGGATGAACTAATTTCTCTGAAAAGAAAAAAAATATATATATATATATATGGTAAAGTTTTTGCTTTAAGTAAGTGGTAAATATATGTGAACACGTGTAATGCTAGGCTTTTTATTTACTAAAAAAAATGGCCACAATATTTTCAGAATACAGGCAATGGATTATATTGCAGAAATAGTACAGAATCTCAGTCATTTTTTGTCTAATGTCTTTTTATGAGTGTATTAAAACTATTCACACAATTTGTAAGTTTCTATTTTTTCGTGAAACCTTTGATCTTGCAATGGGTTTTAATAAAAGAAGATAAAGATGTGATGTCTTCTGTTTATCTGTGCTAACAGCTGGACTTAGATTATGCTAAAAGAAAGACTGAAATCTTCATCCTTGAATATGCAGAACTCATCTAGACAAGGACCTGAACAAACTGATCCAACCTGGCCCCGTCATGAGTGACAGAGCTAACTAGATGACCTCCAGAGTCAGTCTAAAATACTCTATAACTCTATATATTATGAATGTAGTTGGTCATTTCTTTTCATTTCTGCCATTACATCTCTTGCAGGAGTTTTGTCTCTTACTGGCTATCCATCTCTCTCTTATTTGGGGGTTGGAAATAGATGATTTTAAGGTCCTAACTATTCTGTGATTCTGAGAATTTTTTTCTGAACATATTAATCTTTATAGATCTCAGTGTGGCTACTTAATTTTACATGGATCGTGTAATTTACATAATTCAGAAGATTATGTGATATAAGAATTCTAGCTAGAGATACGTTCTAACGGCAGTGTTAATTTCCTTATAATAATGTTTCATAAGTAGTTTTATAGGACTTAATGACAGTTGTGCACTTTTTAATTTTTTAAATGTCATTTAGAGAAATACCATTTAGAGGAAAATGAAAAGTTACTGTCTTCTGTAAAAAGAAAGCTTCCTGCTGTTTCCTCTTACTGAAAATTTACAGTCAACTCCTAAAGTCACAGGTAAATTTCCTAGCTTCCAACAAGCCTGCTTTACTGACAAAATACCTTTGTTCCTTCAAAATCTTTGTGGGAACGTGAAACTAAAGTAGGTAACCTGTGACTCATCATGTTTTACCGGAGATGTTTCTAGACCAGAGGAGCTGGGCTTGTTCAATCTGCAGAAGGGGAGGATAAGGCAAGCTCTATGTGCTTTCTCAACTAGGGAATAGGTGGTTATAAAAAAACCCACAACACTTATTTTCAGTCATTCACTCTTTGAAATCCAGGTATAATTCTGTTTTAATGCCACTCAAATAGTTCACTTGGTAGTTGACTCTTGCCACTTAAAGGCAGTATGGAGGTGAGTGTCCCAGAGGGAAAATGGTGTTTCACATTCAGATTCACTCTGACCAGGATCCCAGATTATTGGGAAACTTACTGAATCGGCACATCTAAGCTGGCATACCCTGCTTCTCAGCAAGTGCTGTCTTTTGGACTAGACAGCTTCTAGTCATCTTTGAGAAGGGACAACATGAGTTTCTGGCAAAAATACCACCAATGAGGACAACTGATCCCAGCATGACCATAGGTGGCTACTTGGGGTGACTTTCAGCATTCTCAAAACCATTAGACAAAAGTCTTCTGTGACTGACTCCACTTAACCTTTAAAACTTAGGCATGGCCACGGAACCCCCCTAGGTTCACTCACAGAAAGTGTATAGGTAGCTACTGTAGGTCCTGCAAAAGAGTTCGAGTCATTCATGATAGCTTCGTAGAATTATTAAATTTACCAATCTATCTAACTGGGTTTTCAAAAACAGTATTTGGGCAAACAAGCTGTAATCACTTTTGAATGGAAAAGTAGCCCCAGTAAGAATAATTTACCAATAATTAATTTTTTCCAGGCTGTCAGCTAGCTTCCGCATGAGCTCATTAGTGTCCATAGAGGTTCTCAAGAGATAAATATGGCCTTCCTGATGCTTAATAAATTGCAGCATTGACAGGAACAAAATCAAGAAAAGCAGCAGGTTACATACACAATGGTTACAGGAAAACAGAGGCACAAACCAAGTTGTTAAGGAGGCTTCTTCTGGTGATGTAATCTTGAATAAGAAAAGGAGAAGGACTATTATAGCCTACGTAGGAGAAGAGATTATAAGATGGATAGGATAGGATAGGATAGGATAGGATAGGATAGGATAGGACAGGACGGACAGGACAGGACAGGACAGGGAAAGGATAGGATAGGATAGGATAGGATAGGATAGGATAGGATAGGATAGGATAGGATAGGATAGGATAGGATAGGATAGGATAGGATAGGATAGGATAGGATAGGATAGGATAGGGAAAGGACAGGATAGCACAGGATAGGATAGGATAAGACACGGATAGGACAGGAACAGACAGGACAGGACAGGATACGGTATTTCAGTTGGAAGGGGCCTGCAATGATTACCTAGTCCAACTGATGGACCAGTTCAGAGCTGACCAAAAGTCAAAGCATTATATTAAGGGCATTGTCCAAATGCCTCTTAAACACTGACAGGCTTGGGACATCAACCACCTCCCTAAAAAGCCTCTTCCAGTGTTGGACCACACTCATGGTAAAGAAATGCTTCATAATAAAACAATGCATTGCAAAATAAGAATTTTAAATCATACATAAAAAGACCATGATGACTATATTCAGATTTATATTTTAAATTAAGTGACAGTTTATGCTGCCCATTTATGAAACTCCATATTAACAGAAAGTGACTTTAAAACAGATTCATTTAGAGACTCATTGAATAAAATTGTTACAGTGTTTAGTGTTTAGAAAGCAGTGTTGCTTTTCTAATCCTGTAGTTGTTTTTCTCCCAGCCTTCTCCATGAGTGACCTGCTATATTGACAGTATGGGTGACTGAAATTTTATTTGAAACAGGCTTATGAAACTGTCTTTTTCAAACCACAGATGCACTGAGAAATGCTCCAGGCTTGAGCATGCAATCGCCCATATATTCTCACCACTTAAAAACTAAGTAATGCTTTGTGAGAGCAGTTGTATTTTGCCAATCTAATGAGGGTGGGTACTCGGTGATTTCTGTGTGTGTGTCATCTTGTCGTTTGGTTCAGGGTTGTTTTTTTAAAAAAAAAGCTTTAGAAAATATTTCCCTTGACTGAAGACCTTTTTCTTTCTGCTTCTCATCCTGCCTTTTTTTTTTTTTACTTGTAAATTCTTTGTCTTTTCTCCTGTGGTTATCATGTAGGGAAATGCAGAATAAGCTGATTATGGCTGTCTTAATGAAAATGCTGGGTTGATGACTTCATATGGCCATTCTCATATTCGGTAGTGTTACCTAAGATTGTAATAACTATAGGCATTTACAAACACATACTTCTTTTTTTCTTCAATTTCATGGATTACGGAAGTCAGCTGGCTCTCAAAAGTACAATCGAGTCATCTGATGAGGAAAAGTAGCATTAGTTGTTGGGTTACCATATACCTGTTGGTAATATTTCTTTGTACAAAAGTGCATCAGAAATTATCTTTTGTCAGTATTGTACTTGATTGTGAGACTACAGAATATGATACAAGTTGTTTAAAATAGGGGCTTTCTGCATTTGAATTTTTTTTTATAAAAAGCGTAGGTTTCAAGTACTTTTCCCTCCTTTTTTCAGTTTGTATAAGCATGGTTTGCAAAACATTTATTTTTCATTGATAA